CCACTATATCTCCGGACCTTCAAAAGACATTCTTTGAAAAGGAGACGACTTTTGAGATCATTTCTGAACTTCAAAATATGTTTCAAGAGCAGGCTCGAACTAAAAGGTTCGAAACCCACAGGCAGATCCTTGAGAGCAAGCTCAAGAAAGGAGAGCCAGCCAGCCCACATGTTCTTAAAATGATTGGATTGTTTGAGAACATGGAAAGGCTCGATGCTGGGTATTCGACCGAGATGGCAATTGACATCATTCTCCACTCGCTGCACAAAGGCTATAATCAGTTTAAGATGAACTATAATATGCACAGCATGGAGAAAACTCTCACTGAGCTTCATGGTATGTTGAAGCAGGCCGAGCAAAAGCCTGACATGCTCATGGTGAGAAAGGGCAAGCCTTTTAAGCGTTCGGGCAAGAAGAGAAGCTTCAAAGGGAAAAAGAAGAATAACTTTCCGCCTAAGTCAAGTGCTGCTAAGAGTGGCAAGGACAAGAAGGTAGCCTCTTCTAAATCCGATTCCGAAAGTTTCTATTGCAAGAAGAAGGGACATTGGAAGCGGGATTGCCTCAAATTCAAGGAAGATAAGAAGAAAGACACCGTTGCTTCTTCATCAGGTATTTTTGTTATAGACTTAAACTTTGCTAGCAAAACATCATGGGTATTAGATACCGGATGTGGCTCACACCTTTGTTCCAATGCTCAAGGACTAAGGATAAATAGGAGGCTAGAGAAGGGAGAGGTCGAGCTTCGGGTCGGCAATGGAGCAAGGATGTCTGCCATATCCGTTGGAACTCTCAGTTTGTCTTTGCCCTCAGGGCTTGTTTTAGAACTTGACAATTGTTATCATGTTCCTAGAGTTACCAAAAACATTATTTCAATTTCAGCGTTGGACGCCAAAGGTTTTTAATTTCGAATTAAGAACAATAGTTGTTCATTTTATTTCGATAATGTTTTATATGGTAAGGCATATTCAGAAAATGGCCTTTATGTGCTTTCTCTAGACAAACAAGTTTATAACACTAATGATACCGCCAAAAGGGATAAGACCATCGAGTTAAATAAAACCTACTTGTGGCACTGTCGTCTTGGCCACATTAACGTCAAACGCATCAAGAAACTTCTTCAAGAAGGTGTTCTTGACTCATTCGACTTGGAGTCGTTTGAAAATTGCGAAGGATGTCTATTAGGCAAGATGATAAAGCAGCCATTTTCCAAGTTGGGAGAAAGGGAAAGTGACTTATTGAGTCTAATACATATGGACGTATATGGACCAATGAGTACACCCACAAGGCAAGGTTATCGATATTTCATTACCTACACCGACGACTATAGTAGATATGGTTATGTCTACCTTATGTCGAATAAATCAAAATCTTTTGAGAAATTCAAAGAATTTCAGAGTGAAGTTGAAAATCAACTTGGCAAGAAAATAAAAGCACTTCAATCGGATCGAGGTGGCGAGTATTTGAGCCATGAATTCAACAATCACTTGAAAGAAAATGGTATTCTTTCAGAGTTGACACCTCCCGGAACTCCATAATGGAACGGAGTATCTGAACGGAGGAATCAAACCTTGTTAGACATGGTTCGATCAATGATGGGTCTTAGTGAACTTCCTATCTCTTTCTGGGGACACGCACTTCTAACTGCGCCACTAACACTGAACCGTGCTCCGTCAAAAGCTGTCGAAAAGACTCCATATGAATTATGGACGAAGAAACCTCCGAGGTTGTCTTTTCTTAAGATTTGGGGTTGCGAAGAATATGTCAAGAGATTAATTTCTGACAAACTTTACCCAAAATCAGACAAGTGTTTCTTTGTGGGCTACCCAAAAGAAACCAAGGGGTATTACTTCTACAATAAATCCGAGAACAAAGTGTCTGTTGCTCGTTATGGTGTCTTTTTGAAGAAGGAGCACCTTTCCAAAATGACAAGTGGGAGGAAAATCGAACTCGATGAAGTTCGAGAGGTAGAGCAACAAAGTCAACATGACAAAACTGACAATCAAAGGGCTTTAGAAGCAGCTGTTGACATTGGTCAGAGTCAAACCGACAATGTAAATGCTCAACCTATTACCCTGCGTAGGTCGCAACGACCAAGATCTCAACCAGACATATACCTTAGTATTGTCTTTACTGAAGATCAAGACATACTAGTTATGGATGGAGATGAACCAGCGACATACAAACAAGCTATGACGAGCCCCGGCCCGACTCTGCTAAATGGCAAGAGGCCATGAAATTCGAGATGGACTCCACGTCTGAAAATCAAGTCTGGGACTTGGTTAATTTTCCCGAAGGTTATACACCTATCGGTTGCGGACCTGGCAGGCGTCTTTTTGGCAGCAACCAATGTTAAAGCTTTTTCTACATAATAATAACCGGTTGGTTAGACAAACTCAAATAATTTAATTAAACAACAGAAGCGGCATTAAGGTGCCGGTTAAGTGGTCAACGTACTTCTCTCAAACATAATACTAAGGCCACAGGTGGAGAGGAACATCTCGTCCTTAAGCCAATCCGGATGAGGTACCCAATTCCTGAGTACAATTATTTATGTGCCATCATCCAGAGGCATGGTAGTCGTATTACAAAATTCCGGCTTTAGTATTTGTGCCCAACCCTCCTCAGGGACATGCGGCAGGCCACATTCTTCCCCAAGAGATCCGACTTTTTATTATACCGACGGAGTAAATGATTTTGACGTCTGCTTGGAGAGGAAACCAAGTAGAATTTGCTCTTCCAATTGGTCCACTTTGATGGCTTGTAGACAAATACCCACTAGGGATAGATGGGAAATAATCGTGCCGCCTGCAGAGGCAACAGTTGTCTAGGAGGATAATCTTGACCACGCCAACAATTATTTCGGCTGCTACGAGGCGACATTCAAAGTTGGTCTCCGCTTCCCCCTCCATGAAGGAATACAGGCCATATTGAGGGGCTACGACATAGGCGTTTGGCAGTTCACCCCTAATTCGTGGGTAAACGTGCTTAATTATATCGTCGTCTGTGAGTTTCAGATTATAAAGCCTGGCTGGGAGGCATTTGCGCACATGCACTATTTAAGCCGTGCCCAGGCGGCTGGAGGCCGTGGTATACTTTGACCACGTACCTGGAGTATTTGATGCCCTTTTACTGTAAAGCTCGACTCTAGGGTTACCCTATTCCTGGCGGACATATGCGTCTTAAGAGGGTTGGAACGAGCCGGCCATGAGGACGCCTCATCCTCCTCACTGTCGGCCTCCGCCTACAGCGAGCTCGACTCCTCAGAGCTAGATCGTTGAATGGCCTCCTCGCCGTCTCCCTGATTTGACTCTTCTAATATACCGTCAGTCGGAGTGCTTGGTGCACTCGGGGAATGGTCATGTACCTCGTCAGCTGGCACCTCAAGAGGTTCGTCTTCCCTATAATCTGGATCGAGTGTCGTCTTCTTAATCCGGGCCATTGTGTCTTGCACAAACACACAGACGGTCGGATTCGGAGAAAAGCAGGGGTGGACCAAACACCTAGAGACGGCACCCCCCAGTCCTAGACTCGGCCGTATCAGGTGACCGACTGACTACTGTCCTAGGTTGTGCCATGTGTGTTGTGGGTGAATCCATTATTCAAAGCAATATACATAAACAGTACAAAGGAACAAAGAGATGAGAAGGGGAGAGACGATTACCTTGATGAAGATTGCTGGAACAAAGAGGTCTCAAGCGTTGACCGGTTATGTTAAACAGAGATAGCAGATGGAAATTTTTGTTCAAAGAATCTCAGATGGTTATCAAAGTCTCACTCTAGAATTCCTTTCTCTTTCTCTCTAGACTTTATGAAATGGGTTAAAGATGAGGGAGGGGGAAGGGGTAAAATGCTTTTATAGAGGGGTAAAACCAGGGGTACTCCCGTAATTTCCCTAGAAGGTGAACAGTTAAAAACCGTTCACTAATAAAAAGTGTGACAAATGTCACAGGCGCCACGTGGCATGCCGCGTGACCCCTGTGAAGGGCAAATGTTTTGGGTAAGAATACCCAAGCCACGTGGCCCAATCAGAATGGGACACGTGTTATCCTTGAAGAGGTCCAACAAGGGCCACTCACCAGCTGACACGTGACACTTCTAATCAGGAGGGAAAAAGACGGCCTTTAGGGCTCAATTCATGAGAAAGCTGCAAAACGGCGTATCCCACCAAATCTAGGTCAGAATGACCTAGACAAGGGCACACTTACCCATGACCCTATAAATAGGCAGATTTTCCCCATTTTGGGGGCACGTTCATTTATTACACACAATTAATTCTCTCAAAAACAGAGAAATCACCAGATTTCGGAATCCGAGAAGATCTACTTTTACTTTCCGCACTTTTACAACACTCCAAACACTTTCTAAATTGATCGTCGGAGGCGGAAATCTGAACACCCGGATCCGTTGTTTTGCAGGCACAGCCGACGGGAAATCAGTCTTGGTGACGTAACTCTCCCGAGGTACACAAAAAACCCCAAATCAAGTATCATAAAAGAACAAAAGTTAGTTGGAAAGCGGAGTGCCAAGGTGGACGTTACAAAATCAGTGCACAAAGTCTTTAATGCCCCTTGTTATACATTAAGAAGTAGAGTATAGACCTCCATTTAGATTTCCTCGGTTATTTCGTCATTGTTATAGGTTACTTAGGCCTTGTTTGGTTCACCTTATTTTTACTGATCTGATCTGGTCTGGTCTGATCTGATCTGATTGTCTGATTTGACCAAACTTTAACCTTAAGTGTACGATAATCTATAAGGAAAAAATGTATCAAGTGGGATCTTGTTAGATTCGTAATAATGTGTAGTTTATTAATATGTAATTTTCACAATTTTTTTTCATTACGAAATTAAGAATATTTAGCGATAAAAAACCGCACATAAAACGATGTTCTGATCTGAACTTATTTTTTCAGATCTGATCTGATCTGAACTTATTTTTTCTGAAATAAGTATAAATAAGTTGAACTAAACAAGACCTTAATCAGTATTATAGGGTTAATTATCAGCTTTAGGTAAGGAGGTATTACTTGCGAAGAAAAACGGTGGTGGTAGTTGCGCATACAAAGGGCAGCCTTTTAACATTTGTCCCAGAAAACGCCATGAGCAGCAAACAGACAGTAGCAGAAGCAGTAGCAGGGGAAGAAGTAGCAGAAGCAGTAGAAGTAGAAGTAGAAGTAGAAGAGGAGGATGTTAAAGTAAAATTAGGGTGTTATGATGGATTTGTGAAGTTGGTGGAAGACCCATCTGAGGAAATCATGCTTTTATGGGGTCTTCAACAACCCATCTTTTCCAAACCCAACGCTTTTGTTCATCAATCCTCTCTTTCTCTCCGTCTCGACGCTTTTGGCCATTCTATCAACATCCTTCAGTCTCCCTCTTCTCTGGTACTTCTCTCTTTTTACCTTCTTAATTTGCATTGTTTTTCTGCTTCTATGTCTCACTAATTTATGTGGGGGTTTCTTGTTTTAGAGTTGTTTTTTATTTAGTATTTTTGATGAATTGCTATAGAATTAGCTTTAATTCTCTATATCTTGACCTACATACATTAAACTATTTTGGGTAATGATTAATGAAAAGTTATTTGACCCTTTTGATTAAAAACAATTGTCCCTTCATTTGAATGAAAATTGAGCAACTGGGTTATCACAGTTCAATCTTATGAAATTTGAGAAACAATGAAATGGCTGACACAATTTGAATATTGTGATCCTAGTATAATAAGTTGGACTTTAATGTTTTATGCTCTCTTAAACTGGTTTTGAAAAATGAAAGATACATAACTATAAAGGCATGTTTCATGTAGGAATCATGAATAAGCTGCAACATCCAATTGAACTTTAATATTGTATAAACTGCATTTTATTCTTGATTGTCTAGTGTTTGGAGGTTGGTATTCTATTAAAATTTTGGTTCTTGTATCTAAAATAAACGACAATTATTATGTCTTTCATATATAGACTAATAGAGGGTAGTTTTCGTGTTGACAAAAGTCATCTGTGATACTACTCGAAAGTATTGTACGATTTACATAAATTTTCACGAACGCAGTCATACGCAGATATAATTCCCTGTCAGTTTATCATGAAGTGTTACTGGTTTTTTAAAATGACAAAACATTCTCATCTGAAGGTAAAGCCACATTGTCCACTTACCTCATACCTAAGGATTCAGCAAGTTTTCACCAGTATGTAATTAAAATTATATGGCATGCTTGTGCCCTCTTCATCACTCAGGCGGACACGTGTTGAGATTCAATATGAATTGAAACTTTTTGAAGGAGATTACCTTTTTTTTTTTGGGTTTACAGATATGGGAGTATTATTTCAATGCTTAGGGAGTACACATTTGTTTTCTTTGTATACATTTCATGTTTTCTTGACCATTGAAAATGCATCTCCCATTGGCAAGAAATTGGGTTAAAAACAAAGCAGAAAGAGCCATGTAAAATAATGCTTTTTTTTTTTTTTTTTTTTTTTTTTGGAATTTGGATCATGATGAATTAAATAAATTGTATCGGGTTCTCCTGTAATCTCTACCTTTGTAAAGCAAGTATTTCAAATCAGAAGGGTCTAATGGAGAGTCAAAGACTATCTGCTACCTCTATGTAGTCTCAGGTATTATGTGCAATGTATTATTCTTCATTTTTTCAAGTACTTTCTTAAGTATTGTTTAGTGCAAATGGTTGAGTATTATGTGCCCATATTGAAAGAAAAACTAAAAAGTCTACTTTAAAACCCAAGTAGGCTACCCCTCATAACCAATTTTAAAAAAGAACCTTAATTTGAGCTTTGTTAGGGAGCTCCTCTCCGTTGTCTATCCTCCATCTGCTATAACAAATTGATACTCGAGCTCAATTGGGTGGTTTGCACCATATGTTAGACACCTATAGCTGCCTCCTTTTTTTAGGGTCTGGGTGCGTTGTTAGCCTATTTTTATTAAAGAGAGTATTTTATGCTCACACTTAAGGAGAAATTGTTAATTGTAACTATGAGTATTATTTTTCCCACATTGAAAGATAGTTCAAAGAAATTTTGGTTTCTAATTCTACTTCTATTGCTAATTGGTTTTAAGATGAAAACTCACTTTGAGCTTTGTTAGTGGGCTTCTCTCCCTTGTCTTCCCCCATATGTTATAACAACCTTAAAAAAAAAAAAAAAAAAAAAAAAAAAAAAAAAAAAAAAAAAAAAAAAAAAAAAAAACAGTTTGTACCCATGTCCCTATAACTAGTGGAGCTGAAAAAAAAAAATCTATAGGGTGGGCCTCTTAAAAAAAATCAACAACAAACTGATAGCTCAATTAGTTTAAGAATGATAAAATTAAAAAAAAAAAAAAAATGTGACAAAGAATTCCACATATGATAGACCTCATAATCATTTTGTAACTTTTCTACTCCATCCTGAAGTAGTTGACCCAAAGAGCCCACCTAGACCCACCGGTGGTTATGACAATCTTTTGTATATATGTTGCTATAACCATTTTTACCATTTTAGGTATAACCTATATTGCAGTGATATGTGTCATTATAACCTTGTACTTACTAAAGTATCTAAATACTCCAAAGACTCTTGATCTATTTCTCCAACATTCTTATAGCTACTATCAAAGTATTGACATGACATACTTTCAAGTTTGGGGAGAGTATTGTGAAAGACCCTGAATTGAAGTGGACTTTATATGCAGGAGCGTATCACTCTTTGTTATTTTTTGTACTATAACACATTAGCACTTGCACTACTTTTCTACCTTTAATTAGATATAGGGATGTTAATGAGCCGAGCCGAACCCGAATATTGGTAGGCTCGGCTCGAGCTCATGAGTTCGGGTTCGAGGCTCTGACTCAAGCTTGTGGCTCATCGAGCCTTGAAAATCGAGCTCGGCTCGAGCTTGTGGCTCCGCTCGAGCTCGTTATTAGCTAAGTTCGAAATCAAGCTCGTTATAAGCTCGATTTTGAAATCAGGCTTATTTAGGCCCATAAATACATAATCTATGTCACATAATTTACCCAACTACCCAAGTATAATAGTGGGTTGCTGTTATTGTTCTTATTAGCTTTATTTAAATGTAAAAAAACATAAAAATATTTATTTTAAGAAAATAATTCGAGCCGCTTGTGAGCTTTTCAAGCCGAGCTTAGCATGGCTCGTGTATCGTATCGTTTAGTCTCGAGCCGAATCCGAACTCGAGCCAAGCCGAGCTTTGACCGAGCTGAGCTCGAACAGTTCACGAGCAGGCTCGGCTCATTAACAACACTAATTAGATATATACTTCCAATGTTCTTTTTTAGTTGACCTGTTATGATTTTTGACTGTGTTCCCAAATTCTACTGTGACTAACTTTTGTAATATATAATTAAGAAAAAAAACATAGTCATGTGGATCTTGTTAGATTCGCCTTAATGTTTATGTTCAGAATATTTATTTTTATAATTTTTACTTATTGATAATTAAAGATATAAACAATTGAATTTATGCGTTATCAAACGTGATAAAAGAAACGTGTCAATTAAAAAATAATAAAGGGAAATACTTTCTATTCTCCTCATGATGTATTGTTCACTTCAAAGGCTTTGAATTTTCTGTGATTTCCTAGCTGTCTTTCTTTGATCAGCTGAACCATGATTATGAGTTTTATTTAATTGAGCTGATATAATTGCAGATGACACCCGGAGTGACTGGATCAGTAATGTGGGACAGTGGTATTGTTTTAGGGAAATTTTTGGAACATGCGGTGGACTTAGAGAAGCTGCTTCTTCAGGGGAAAAAAGTTGTTGAGTTGGGCTCTGGCTGTGGATTAGTCGGGTATAAAACAGCTTACCATATAGTTTCTATTTTATCTTCAAACTATTGATTTATTAGATACAAGTCTCCTGTTCTTTATCTAGAGAGAAAAAAGGTGGGAAAAAAAATACTGATTTGCTCTTGTATGCTAAAAGTTATTCATTATTAACCAGGTGTATAATTCTTATATAAAGAGGCTTTAAACCTGTACCCAAGGGATAATGAGGTAAATAAACAGCTTTCTGGTTCACTAGCTTGTATGGTCCAGCAGTATTCAATACTAAGAGTAATTGTGTGTTTAAGATGTCGAATCATAAAAAAGAATATATTTAGGACTTTTGAGTTTCTGACTTAAATCTGTAATTGATCATGAATTATTCTATATTCTTTGGACTGGCTTTAGACTTATAATAAGTGTACTTCAAGCTGCATTGCAGCTCTTTCTGGTGCACAGGTTACGTTAACGGATCTTCCCGATCGGCTGAGGCTGTTGAAAAAGAATGTTGACACCAATTTAAATTCTAGTGACATATTGGGCTCGGGAATGGTCAGCGAACTCATCTGGGGAGAAGATCCTGATCCTGATATACTTGATCCATTGCCAAATTATGGTAAGCTTTTGCCACAATCTTTTTGCTATAACTTTTTTATAGGGTTGCTTGTCTTATTTTACGTGTCTTAGAATCATGCACTAGTTGCATTTTCTTCTGTTTACAACAAATCAAAAGTTTATACTCCATTAAATTTATCTGAGTTTGGCTGATTGGCTTTTTCTATATACATGCATTAAAGTTAAAGGAAATAGAATGAACTTTGCTTCCCTTCAATTCTTGTTTTATAATAAAATGAATATTTGCTTTCTTTTTTCCATTAAGAAGATAAATAAGGGACAGGACAAAAAGTAATAAGTATGACATAGCTAAATCTCTCTTGGTTGTCTATTACACAATTATGAGTAAGATGAATATTAGCTTTCTTTTTTCATAAAGAGGACTAATGTGCCAAAGCTGTTGAGACTAGTAATACTTCTCGCTTCAAACATGAATAACTTAATTAGTATGTTTTTTATGCAATTCTGACTTACCAAGCAAGCTAGCTGACTTGAAATGCTTATGGCAGTGTTTTTCAACTTTCCAAAATTTAATATTTTATAAAAGGCGACATAAACATTAATACAGCAAAAGATGGGCCTTCATCTGGATCAGATGGTGATATGATTGCTCTTTTCCCTGGATCACTACTAGATATCCTAACTTCTTTGTCTAAAGGTTTTTCTACTCTATTTGACTAATATGCCAAAGCTATTCAAACTAGCCTTGAAATGCTACCTTTTAAATTGATATAGTAAGCACAACCATAGGAGATAAACCTTGATTTGATATCTGTATCTCATTACTGTATTGGTCTTGTTGTAGATTGACCATAATAAAATCTTTTTGTGGATGCTCTCTAAAGTCTAAACCAGCAGACTCAGAGCTCTAATGTTGCTTGTCGTTTCTTGCTTCAAGGGAGATGAGCAATAAGGTATTCAAGCGGAGCTTAATTAATTTCTGCTTCCTTTTGTCTGATAATTTTGTACTTTCCATGTCCCATAGCAATTTGGTTCTAGATCTTCTGTCACTAGATTTGAAAAGTTTCCTCATTCTGGTATCGACTGATTCTTGTTCTGTTAACTTTATTCTATGATTGAGCCTGGATTTTTATTTTCCCCTTACCTTCAACGTGCTGTCTCAAGCTGCACCTCTGATTCCATTGTCATAAATCTGGAACATCTATATATCTTTATGAGGTATTATTCTTCTCATTTCATTGATCTTTCCTCTGTTGATGTTATAAGTTATCTTAGTGCTAGGTTCAGATGTGATTTACAGCGAAGAGGCTGTTGGAGATCTGTTATCTACCCTAAAACAAGTTTGTGACAAGCACACGACAGTTATCTTATCTGGGGAACTTCGCAATGGTACAAATCTTCTTCACTTGTGTATATTTATCTGTATGTCTGCAGCAGATTAACAATTTTTCTTTCTACAGATGCGATTCTTGAACTTTTCCTGGAATCTGCCATAAAAGATTTTTGGATAGGTCAAGTGGATCAATCGGAGTTTCATCCTGAGTATAGCAGTCACCGAGTTGTTATCTACATTCTGGTAAAGAAGGATAATGAAGATTGTATCAATGATAATTGATAATTTATGCTGGTATTTTAAGTTGTGGTAAAGAAGGATAATGAAGATTGTATCAATGATAATTGATAATTTATGCTGTTATTTTAAGTTGTAACAACCATTTCTAGCTTCATAATTATCGTCATTTGGAAAAAAAATTCCTTTTTTTTTTTTTATGATCACGTCTTATCATGAAGTTGCTTAGTTAAAGAAGCTATTGTACTCACGTCTTATCATGAAGTTGCTTAGTTAAAGAAGCTATTGTACTATTGAAGCATCCCTAAACAGGTTGTTGAGCATGGGAGAGGTGATTGATCGTGTACAGTTGGAATTTTTACGAACTTATATCCAACACCCTAAAAGACTTCCATGGAAAGGAGTAAATAAATCATCCCAGGATCATGGACCAATCATGGTGAATAGCAACCCAACATTTGGGGAAATTCCATGGAAAGTATACAAAGAAAAATTGGAAAGTATTCTTCTGAAGCATCCAGTATCTTATTTGATTTAAGTTCTCCTCTTCGTCTTTGGGTTCAATGGATAAATCATCCCAAGATCAGTTTCTTTGGTTCATATACCATTTAGAGGAAGTCATGTTGGATTTTATATCCAAAGGGTTTCTGAGTTACCTTGAAATAATACTCCGTGGCGACTCTTTCAAAGTTATAACCTCAAATGCAAAAATTTTCATAAAGAAAAATTTTCAAACAACAAAAAGTACTAGTAAAAGACTTAAGAGCAACCATCGCGGAACATGTTTGCACAATTTACAGGTGTTAAAATATGAACCAATTGATCCAACCCAAAATTGACTCAAAAAAAACCGAACTTACATTTTGACTCGTATACTCGCATAGACACAATAATTTAGTGTGACTCAAGTTTAAAATAGATTTGACTCGTCCGACCTGATCTTATCGAACTTGAACCGGACACCCAAATCGATTCCTCTACCTAAAAAGAAGCTGGTTGGTAGGAAGCCACAACTGGTGTAGCTTGGACTTTTATTTGAAGAACTTGCCAAAGAAATGTGGTTTCCCATTGTGCAAAGCTCCACATGGCATAAAACATTTGACCTGTGCATAGAGCTGTCAATTCGGTAAACGGGTCATGTTTGGGTCGGGTTAGTGTGGGTCAGGTCAACTCGGGTCGGGTCAATTCGGGTTAATGTCGTAACCTATGCGGGTCGAGTTCAGGTTGGGTCATGGTTGAGTCGAGTCATACATCTTATCGGGTTTGGGTGGGGTTTAGGTCTGGTTAATAACAGGTCGGGTAAATAATAGGTCGGGTTTAATTTGGGTTTTAAAGAGTTAAAACGAGTTAGGGTCATTCTCGGGTTCGAGTCGGGTTCGACTGAAGTCAATAATTTGCAGGTTATAATCAGGTCGGGTCATTATCGGGTTCGTAGCGGGTTCGATTCAAGTCAATAATTTGCAGGTTATAAACGGGTGGGGTTATTGATATGATGCACCCGAACCCGAGCCCGAACATGAACCCAATAATTTGCAGGTTATAGCCCAACTCGGGTCATGTTCGGGTCCGGGTCTCAAATATTGGGTTAATCTGGGTCTCGGGTTGACTTCAGATCGGGTTCGGGTACATAGAGTAGTTTTAGACTTATGAATTTATTGTTTCGGGGTTTTTTGATGTGTCTTGCGGGAGAGTTACAACACCAGAACTGGTAGCCGACCGCCTGTACCTGCAAAAGCACGGAGACTCCGGTTGGTTGGAGCTCCGCCTTCGACAATCAAGTTAGAGTACGTCTGAGTGAGTAAGAATGCGAAAAGTAAATAGTCTCTCGGATTCCGGGAGATTCTGCAATTAATATTGCTCGGTATTTGTATCCGTATTTATGATTGTGCATAAATGTGCAATAAATAAGGACTTTCCTCTATATATAGTAGAAGGAGATTAGTTCCCCTATTAGGGTTACGGTGCCACGTGTCAGCAGGAGAATGGATCCCACTGGGCATCTCTGAGGCTGACACGTGTCAGCCATCCATTTGGCCATGTGGCATAGAGTAATTTTACCCCAAACATTTGCCCCTCACAGGTGTGATGTGGCTTGCCACGTGGCACCTGTGACACGTGTCACGCTATGGGGAGGTGACGGTTCGTCTCCTTCCCTCCATTTTTTTTTGAATTCAAATTTGAAATGAGGAGGCGACGGTTCGCCTTCTGAGTTTCTTTATAAATAGAAAACCCCTCCTCTCATTCCACACTTTTGCAAATTTTGAGAGAATTTTTTGAGAGAAAAAGAGAGAGCTTTGATTCCAGTTGTTGTTGCTTATACAATCGTCTGTCTTTTCCCTACTCATCCGGTTGTCGTCTGAGATAGCCGGTCAGCACCGTTTGAGGGGTTTGTGAGCAATCACTATTACTTCCAAATGCACACACGGATTTACCGTTTGTGCACTAGCCAGTTCAGGTTTCAAAATACTTGCTCTTCTTAGAGGATACATACAGTCAAACGGCTGTACCTCTAGCAAGCCATCCATTGAATTCTGACTGCTTTACCAGCCAGTGAACACTTCTTAACCTTTCAGCTTACTTTTGAGGTACCGTCTCTACCCCCTTCAGCTCTTTCATGAATTTTTGTTTGTCTCTTTTTCTTTTTCCTTTCTTTGGCTTTAAAAGTAAATAGACTCACCAACCACACACCCGGCACACCACGATTTAGAGGTCAACCGGTCCCCTGGTACGGCTGAGTCTAAGACTGGGGGAGCCGCCTCTGGGTATTGGGATTCCCCTTGTTCATCTCCCAATCCGACCGTCTCTGTCTCGATGCAGGACACAATGGCTCGTACTAGAAAAATGGCTGTAGATCCGGAGTATAAAGGAGAAAGCTCCGAAGAGTTGCCGCCTGAAACAAACCAGGCTGAGATGACAAGGGAATCCCCAAGAGGTACCCCAAGCATCCCTAGTGATGGAATCCTGGGGTCCGATAATGAAGGCGGCGAAGATGCCGCCTCTATCTCTGGAGCTGAGGAGGAAAAATCCTTTGGTGATGAGAGCAGCGGAGAAACCGCCTCTACAGCGGTTGTAGATAGCGAGGAGGAGGAGAGACCCACTTGGAATAATAAGGGTGATCCCCTCCTCATCCAAGTCTCAGCTAAGGATCGGGCTAGCATGGAGAGGAACTTAGGGAATTTTGTACTCATGCGGCCTCTAGGAGAGGGGTACGGAATTCGAGTACCGCCTGAGATGGGAACAATTTCCTGGGAAGACAACCAGCGCAATGCGAACGGGTTTTTTGGTTGCTATGAGGCGGCCTTTCTAGCCGGCCTCCGCTTCCCTCTTCATGACACCATAAAGGCCATCTTAAGAGGATAGGCCTGGGCGTGTGACAGTTAACCCCCAACTCTTGGGTTAGCATTTTGGGCTACATCGCCACCTGCAAGATGTAGGGCCTAAACCCCGGCTGGGAGGCCTTCGCCCATATGCACTATTTAAGCCGGAGCCCAGGCGGGTGGAGAGCTTGGTATACTCTGACCACTTATCCCCAGTATTTGATGACGTTGGATAAATTGTCTAAGTGGTCAGACTGGAAGAACCGCTTCTATCTAGTTTCCGCTCCCACCAAGGAGGAGAACCGTGAGCTCAGGACTTACAACCGGAAGCTTGAGCTGCTTGGGCAAAAATGTAAGATGCCCCGAGTCTCGGATGAGGACTATAAGAGGATCATAGAGGCGGGGTTCTTTGAACTCACCACAACCGCCCTCTCAACCGGTGAACTGATAAGTGTACCCAAGAATTGGGTACCCAAACACTAGTTCTTGCGAGATGAGGCATTTTCATCCGCCTGTGGGTTAAGCACCCAGTTTAAAAAACGTAGGTCGCAGGAGCACCTGGCCTTGTTATACCGCCTTAGCTATTTTATACTTGGAATATTTATTGTCCTTGTCTGATCAGATGGTTTCCTTTCCGCAGTAACTGCCTTAACAATGTTGCCTCCACAAAAGACTCCCGTCCCTTAGTCCTTTGTATTTTTTGAAGTATATACCGGCTGACCATTATACTTGCTTTTTGACTCAGGAGGGGAGCAAGGTGCCTCGCTCTCTGACCAAGTTGATCCGGCCCCGGCAGGAAGATGAGGGAGCCATCTCCAACAAGTCTCGGAAGGCCTCCTCTCAGGCGATCACCGGCCGTCTGACAGTTGGGGGTAACACCGTAAAAAACAGTGGCCTGGGGTTTGATCTCACGTACCGCCAGTGTTCGGATACATATAATCAAGAGATCCTGGCGGCTGCTGAAGAAGAGGCGTTGGGGGAAGCGTTGGAGGAGGAGGAGCCGGTAGTGGCGCTTGTGCCGCTTGGGGGTAAGGCATCAAAAAAGGATGCAGCTGAAGCCGAGTCCAGCAAGAAGAGTGCTGACCAGGCGGCAACTGCTAATACTGAACTGCCCCCTTCTTAAGCTTTATGTATTCTTTCCACGGCCCGCGTGCCGTTTTCTTTGTATTTACCCGGCCAGGGGGCCGGGGCTTTGAATATTTTGCTGGTCTTTAATGACCGGCTTATTTTTAATGAATTTTTGTTTTGCTTCAAATTTGTCTAAGTATTCCATATCTAATATCCAATTGTTCACTAGACCGACTATTTTACATGGCCGAACGTTGCAGACAGGTACAGAGAGTTAGTACGCCGCCTATGCCCCTGGACGACTGGTTGTCCTTGTTGGCCGAACAACAAGTTGTCCTTCCCCACGGATGGACTCTGTTTCCAGGATAGATGATCAGTCGGCCATTTATCCAATCAGTATTCGAACTATTTTGTCTGGATCCTTTTTAGGCAGGCGGTCCTGTCATTTGCAAATTTAACCAAGTAGGAAAGTGGCCTGACCAAGTAAATAGAGTATTACCTAGTCGCCAAGGAACTGAGTAGTAGAGATAACAAGCGGCGGGTACCGGTTGTTTCCCTTTATTGCCAATATTTGTTGGCTTTTAACTCATAATTTGTTAATCTAGCAAGAGTAATGGTTGAGAGCCCCTGTTTGTTAAAAACAGGCGGACGACTCATACCTTTTAGGCCTAACTAAGTTGAGTGACTATTAAGTTAACATAGGAGTTACTTAGTCTTCGTCACAATCTAGATTGAGTAGTAGAGGTACTAGGCGGCGGAT